TAATGTTTTTCAGACAGTTTAGTCCAGTACAGTCATACAGTACAAGCACCTCAAGTTCTTCAGGTATATAAAAATATCAAAAACATAATCCCAATTTTGGGATCCATTTCAGTGAAAAAATTGGTAAAATTTCAAGGCTGTCCTCTTATAAAAATTCAGCAGTCCAGGTTGCTTGACAACAGGAGCGGCGCTATGGGATGTGACGACGAAAGCAAGAAGTCTGTTGTGGGCTGGACCGTCTCATTTAACAAACACTTTGCACAGCCTTTGCATTCTTTGAAGGACCCATAGAAGGATGCGAAGGCTCCATCCTTCCAAAGATGCAGCCTTTGCTTGAACTGGGATATGGCTACTGAAAGTAAAAGACACATCAGCAGTGGTTTGCTTCAACAGAGTAAAGAAATGATGTCTTAGTGGTGGTTTTAAAGAAGTTTTCCTCTATAAAAGGATTATGGATTATGTCTGAAACCAACTATGTTCTTAAAGCCCAAATAAGCCTTCACTGGAAACCAATGGCTAAAAAACAACCCACAGTGACTCATTTGTAAGGATTACAATATAATCATAGCCAATCAGTCATTGTCATGTGTCTTTCTTGTGAAATCCAATCAAACATTTCTTGGAAACAATCATTACATGCAAGTTTTAAAAGTCTTGATGACTACATGATCCTCACAAGGAATACAGCATCTGTGTACCAAGAAACAAGCAACTCAGAATCAGCCACGACTCTCTCTGCTCCTTTTTGCATTGCTGGATAAGGCAGACACAAAATCACTCCTGAACCTGATGGCAAACCAAGGCACGATTAAGTACTACTACAACGTGTTTATGGGCATTCTTGGGCTTCTGCATTAATTATGCACAAGCTTCCAAGTGTGTATGCTAAACTAACTGTGAACCCAGTCTCAAACTGTTCTTTATCTACCGCTTCAACTATCTTCCACTAAATACAATAACACCTATTCAAAATCCGGTGAAAATCCCATCAAACAACTTACTTTAAACAAATTCTACACACACGCATAATGGATTATGAAAACAGTTTGTCAGTCAGAAGGCTTTTGCAAGAAATCTAATGAAAATGGAATTTGTATTTCTTGGAAGGAACATAATTAAAAAACATAACCTGCCTTTATAAATACGAAATTATAAATAGCTCTTTGTTTAGATGCAGCAGACCAGTCAAAGTTTTTAATGGCTGGGTGTGAGCAGAGGACTGTATTCAAAGGGGAAAAAGTGATCTGAAGGCTTAGTCCCCTTCTGAGCTCCTGGAAGTCTAAGGCGGTGCTGCTTCCCTGGAGGCTACACAGAACTCAGCAGGCAGGCGGCAATCACAACCTATCAGCATCTCTGCTGCCGTAGCATGGGCAGACTACAAAGCAGTGGATCAGAGAGAAAGGAGAATGAGGCAGAGATAGATTTTTCTTCTGTTTAAGGTGAGAAGTTTGTCTTTAGCCTTGTGAATTGATACTTAATTCTACTGTAAATGCTGTAGCTGAGAACAAGGCAAACCTGGTTTACCAAAACCACAAGATGTAGAGGAGATACTATACTGATTTCACATTTTTACTGTGCTGGGTAAAATAGCTTCTCTTGCTGCAAACATTTACAAGTCAGTCATGGATTCATCCATATGCATCCCAGTGACCTGGTAAAGCTAATCCAGCAGCCATGCAGTTTCACAAAGCCTGCCATACAGTGGTTTGTACTGTGGTAAAGCCGGCAGGTTAGTGGTTTGTGTGGTAATGTGTGTGATTTGTCATTAAGATGCCCTCAGGACAGAGCAGGACAGGATCTTCTAACAATCTGATTAGCTTGCTTTCATTTGATAGCAGCAGGCAGCAGGCCCAGAGATGGAGCTAAAAACAGACTAACAGGGGAATAAAGGGGAAGTGGTAGATTGTTTCAGGAGCATTAAAGACCCAGCCTTGAAGTTTTGAGAGTGTCACACTGTAGCACTGTAATATTTGGGCATCATGTATTATCTGGAAAAGTTCAAAAATATATGTGAGAATGCGCAAGAAAAATTCACTGCATAGTCCACACAGCAATACTCGATTCACGCCAAATTCCAGACTGTTCCAGACTTCTTGGAAGGGTTTCCAGATGATATCCTTCTTCGAAGTACTAACAGCTAAATGTTTATTATGTAAATAAATGGTTTTATACTGATAAGCCCCAACACGAACACCCCTATCAGGTGAGGTGTGTAACATTAATCATATTGTTACGATGCAAGGTTTTGCTGGGAACCCTGGGTCCTGGATTTATGTGGATCTAACCTTGACATTCACCAACCACCTAAACAGTGTTGCAGACCAAACACAGCTCCCAAGATATCCGTCTCCCCCAGCAGAACAACATACACACCACAAAAACTTTGCATGAAAACAGAAAGCATTTTACTGAAGCTGCAATGATAAAACGCTGCCCAAAGCATCATTATTATTTTTCCGTAACATAATGAGTAAATAATAATATATTATTGTCCGTTCATGTTTTTAGTCTCTTTTGTGTTTTAGAACCAAAAATTAGCTGAAAAAAGGTAAATAATTTAAAAAGTGGTTATTTACTATAACCATAAAAGAACGATGAATGCAGCCATAAAGGTTAAGGGATTAGAGGGAACCTTTCGGGAAAACATCTGTGTTCACCTTTCCAGTAACTACATTGCTGCGTAACTCATAAATGTTCAGACAAGCTTAGAATATTTGGATATTTGTGATGCTGTGTGCTTTTGCAACTTAAATATTTTAATGCACTTTCTTAAAATGAAACTAATTTGATCAAAGATTCGGCACAGTTACAAGGTATTTGGGGCAGAGCTGTTTTGCATAGAAGTGTGTAGTGAGTCACACACAATATTTTTTGTCTTGCTTGCTCTGGTCCAAGCTGTCTCACATACTGGTAAACATTGTAGCTGCACCAGCTGCCTGCCCGCTCCAAACACCATGACGAACACTCTGTTTGTATGATCAGTTTATTTAATCTATTTTTAGAATTTTATGTTTCCGAAAACAGAGTAGGGGCATTAGTCTTTGTTTTTTCCATACTTATTTAGATCTGAATAATGCTAAAATCAAATTCCATATTTTTCCATACTGCGTAGGGACTTGTTGTGAATGAGAATGACATGTGAGACTTGGAGGGCTGGTAGGTAGAAATGGCTGAGATTCAACAGATGCAGTGTGAAGAAAGGGTCTTAGAATGGTCCTGTGCTATCTGCTGTGTCCACTGGTTTATAGAGATGTCAGTTTATCTCCTGAACCCAGTGATTAACATGGAAATTGTCCAGTCATGTAAATGGTGCAGCTACCATTGGGAAGGAGTTGAGAACATTTTTTAGAAATATGATATCTAAACCTGCATTGAATGCTTTTTGACCTCTTTTGTTGCTAGTTGCTAGTGTTGCTTATTTGAGTGTATTACAGTGCTATGAAGCTGATTTAAAGGTACAGCAGTATGTAAAGGAAATATGTTATGAAAACAGCTTCCAACATCAGCAGAAGTAACACTCACTTTAATTTAGTGTCATGTTGTTCTCTGCTTGATGAATTAAATTGACCCTTTTACCTTAACATCTAAATGTGATCTTTTTGTTTGTAAATGCTTGACTTTACTCACACTCTACCTGTGTCGGTCTGCCTTTTGGTGCAGGCTTAGTGGCATACAGTGGATTTATTATCGTCTTTCCACTGAGAAAAGCTGCCTGCTGGACTTAATGCTGATGAGAGCACTGAGAGTGAACTAAAACTGGGGATGGACAATATATCATTACCCAGTTATTATTGGCAGATAAGTATGAAAATGTAATTATTGTTATTGTTCAGATACTGAAAACTTAAACAATAATTCCACTGCATGGAGGACGCTGTGAAGTAGGTACATCGCACAAAATTCAGTTCTGAGTGGTAATTTGTCACCTCTCTCTTCCTCTCTGCTGTCTGTGTTGCTACCTTTTTACACAAAGATGAGGAACACGAGCACAGTGGATAGTGTGACTCTGCAGGGCCAAAGCTGAAAAATGGATTTAGGTTACAGCCTCTTGGGTTGATGACAACAGTGTTTTGTTATTCATATGTGGAACAAAATCAACCCCTATTGGAGACACAAGCAATTTATCAAGCATTACAGTAAGAGGAAAAATGTGTGAGATAAATACTATTCATACTGATAGCAGCAACAAGTAGATCATCATCAGTTATTAATGATTGGTTATGGGCGGGCACAAAAAAATCCATATTGGTGCATTTCTAAACAAAACAGTAAAGTTTCAGGCTATAAAACCAAAATAGTAAGTTAAAAAATATTAAAAGAACTGCAGTTAACAATCACCCATGGGCTTTAATAAACCTTTCAAAATATAAAATAAAAATGTTTAACATAAAAATCTAACTTAAATTTGATTAGTAAGACCTAAAGAAGTAATTGCTAAGCAAGAGATTTTTTTTGATGAAATAAAAAAACCTGTAAATACTCTTGGAGTATGTCAGAATCAGAATCAGAATCAGTATCAGAAAAAACTTTATTTATCCCAGAGGGGCAATTATGTACTTCTGGAGTAACCTCAAAGACAATCTTTCACATTTCTGTATTGCAATTCCTTATTATTTATAACCAAACATTTGATTGTTAATATACCTATGATAAGGTGAAAAATTGGACTTATAATCAGATCTGCAGTCTGATGTATTTTCTGAGGGTTTAGCTTAAACCTGATTTTTGTCTAGACATCTCTTTCTATTTCTAGTCAGTAATTGTTTTGTTGATGTTCTGCCTCCATGCACACCTGCACACACACTGCTGCCTCTCGCTGTCGCTGGCTCCCTGTGTTATCGGTACACACACCATGTCCTCTCTCTTTCTCCTCCTCTCATTCACACATTCTCTCCCTATCCTCCTCCCTCTTCTTGCATGCCTGCCTCCTACTGTTTCTCCTCCCTCCCGCTCTCTCTCTCTCCTCTCTCTCTCTCTATCTCCCCGTGCACCCCTCCTACCGTTTGGACTGCAGCAGTTTCTCCTCAGCCTCCTGTCTTTCTCTTAGCAGCCTCTGCAGGTGAAGGATTTCCCTCTGGTAAGAAGCTGTCCTTCCCTCCGCTGCCTCCTCCAACGCTGCCAGTCTGGTTGACGCCTGCCTCCGGTACACCTGCACATACACATTCACACAAAGGAATGAGATGTGGAGTGTTGCTATGAAGGAGGTGGATTTACATGAAGGACAGCACAGCAGAGACAAGTGGAGTGAAGGAGGGGGAGTCACACACACTGGGACAAGGTGAGAACCAACAACACACACACACACACACACACACACACACACACGAACCTGCATATCTTCTGTGGATAGGCTGGTATGAGTGCAGCTGTACTTCTACTGCTTTTTGTTTGGACTTTTTGTTTGTATACGTGTCAAAGACATAACATTTTTTTTGTGCACTTATATTTAAGCCACTGTGTCTACAGATCTGCTGGTGGTGCAGCACACACACTCATACAAGTGGTAAATATGGACTAGTTTCCCTTAACTCATGACAAAAAAGCAAAAGAAAGGCCAATAAAGCAAAAAATAATCAATGAATGAAAATATCATAAGAGAGCAAGAGAGGCTGTGAAAAATACAGATGCACAAAGACACATAGAGGGTAGATGCTGTGTGTGTTGCTGCTCTGGGCTCTGCAGTTAGAGATGAGAAAAACAAGGTCTGAATAAGGACAGACAGTGCTTCGATCAGCCTGTTTATTTGTGTGTGTGCACAGGAGTTTATCACTCTGTCTGCTTGCTAAAGGGTAAAAAAACATGTTGCTTTGACTCTTCCTCTTTACATAACGTCTCACTGAATTGGTGGCTTGCCTAGATTTGGTCACATGACATTTTTTTTACCGGAGCAGTTAAGCAAAGGGCCTAATACATTAATACAGATGATAGATTTGCTACTGATTTCTCTATCCATAAGGCTGTATCTCTAAAGCTCTAACCCCTTTTTTAAGCTCTAGCAATTATAGTAGAAGATCAGAGGACTGCTGAGTTGTAATCATCTAGACACTACATCCAGCCACTCTCACCAGTTGTAAACAGAAAGCAACACACTACTTAAAATAAGGCCTCTCTATATAAAACCTTTCATTTAGAAAGGCATCAACAACTGTTGACAATTGTTTTTTTAAATTCGGAATGTCTGTACCTTACTATGTTAAGTGCTGTGAGATGACATATGTTGTGAACTGTTCTATATAAATAAAACTGAATTGAATTGTCACATGCTTTTCCTTGGGCAAACAGTCAGTCAAGCTAGACAGAGGGCTTCAGGCTCATGTTCTCCCAACAAGAAAACATGAAGTAGGTGCATGTTCATTGTAATAACAGAGTGCTGTTGAAATAATGCAGCATCATGTTTCTAAAAGAAATGGTTTCCTATGAAAACAATGCAGGAAGCAGCTTTTGTCAGCTCAATAGCTGTACTTCAATGATATTAAGTATGAACTATCTGCAGGCTTTGGAATTTCATCACGTACAGACTTCAAAGCGATAATATCTCACTTTGTATGATTCAATCAATAGTTGTCTGTTCTCGACATATGCATGCGTATTGTCCAACTGTTGCATGGCCATTCCATTTCCATATTGCTATTTCCTCCACAAGGTTAGAAGCTGTTGTTAAAATGGGACAGCACCTCTTTTACAATATATTAATTCTGTTTTTATTCTACCAGTGCAAACATTTAAGTTAAGGAGTCCACAGAAAGAAAATAAAACCATCTTCCAAATCACATTGCATGTACTTTATATCGCCAACGTCATCATAATAATCAATTACCATTTTCTCTTTTTTTTTCATTTTCTTTTTATCGATTTTTCATTTTGTAGACAGACACACAAACATAATGAACACGAAGACCTTTTGGCGAGTATTTAACATCAGGGAGATAAAACAAAAAAATTGTCTTAAGAGACTTGCAGAGATTTCCAGTTGTGAATGGAGCAAGGAGAGTAAGAGAGATAGTCCTAATTATGACAATGATAGCAATGATATTAACAGTGATATTTAACCAAAGTTTGCCTGAAGTCCGGTCTAATGGTAGAAATATATGCAGTCCATTTTTGGCAGTTCTCAACAAATACATGTTTATGCATTCTCAAGTTAAAAGTAATTCTTTCCATCACAAAGATACCATGCACAGTGTCACTCAAATCATCTATACTGGGTACCTCCTTTTTTTTAGTCATTTCTTTGTAATGGATTTCTTACAGGCCACCAATAATATTCTAAACAGGTATTTATCCTTGCTCCTCCAGTCAAGTTCCTCCAAACTGACGAGGTACAAGAAATTGAAGCAGGGCAACTCCAAAATATGGGAAAATGATTTGCCTCTTTGCTTCCACAATGTCTCCAATTACCATTTTTAAAACTGATAAATAACTCCCCACGCCACAGTCAACACAACTTGTACTGATATTAAATGTCCGTTCTGTGCTTTGGTAACAGCAACTGCTTCATTATGCAGTTTTCTACCGTTCAACACACATACATTAATTTACATATATTTTCACTCATGTTGTTAAAGCCAATCCAAACCCTCTGAGCATTTTAGTCTGTCAGACATAATTACAGACCACAAATATAAACACAACCATCACACAACAGCATGACGTTAATGCACACACCATCATTCGACCCACAGTCAAATTGAAAATACCTGCTATTAAATAAAGAATGGTGGTCAAATAATGATATCAGCACCATATATCATTACTGTGCCGTGACATCGCTAGAGCACAATACGTGTGAGTGAAGTACGCGAACAAGCGCTTACCCTTACTCAGCGCATATAATTTACGACTTTATCGCTGCACACTCATGTCATCCTTTAAATCATGGGCAACACACAGCTGAACACCAAGATACTGTACATGACTCAGGAGGCTGCTGTTTTCATTGCTTAACAAACCAAATATGTTATAAGATTCTTTGTCTTTTCTTATTATTTCTGTATGATGCCATTTATTCTGTAACAATGACTGCTGTTCATTGCATAGTACCACTCTTGGTGTTCCAGCACATTTTGATTCTGTTCAATATTAGCATATACCTGAGAGCATCTCTTGTTTTACTGACACTTGCATGTTAAACATTTTTATCCCTTTTTTCTTTCCTCTAGCAAGCAAGCATTAGGAGTTTGAGGCAATTAATATATTTAGTGCATCAACAGTTCAACACTTGTAAACATCTCACAGGCTGCGTTTTTCACTCAACCAATATAGCTGTGAGGCTAAATGCAAGATATGCAAGACATGTTGCTCTGTTTCTAGAAAGATGTGTGTGCAAGAGGACACACATTGCAAGGTGTGTTTCAGTGTGACAGATGATATGCAAACTGCGATTTAAGCAGTCAATCATAGTGTTGCAAGTAATGTGTCTGACTGATTAAGTACCCAACCTGGCACCTCACAAACAGGCCTGTGTGTGTGTGTGCGCGTGTGTGTGTGTGTGTATGTGTGTACAAGTGAGCGAGCAAAAGAAAGAGAAAGAGCAGTGTAACAGTCAGTGTCACTGGATACATAGTAGCTAGAGACGACAATAAAGTAGCATAGAGAATTAAATTAGGACAAATGGTAAAATAATTTAAACATAGCTAAAACAAAGTTCATCAATGCTAGTACATAACATAACTGTTATGTCATAACATACAGCACCACTATGTTGAATTTTATACAGGCTTGGCCTGTAATATAACTGTATTCATGCACACTTATTCCTGCAGAAGTGACTACTCTGTGCAGAATACCATGTAGTTATTAGGTGGCAGCACGACATCAGTCACCACTCTTCACCAGTCTGATGTACTTAGAGGCCAGCAACAATAACAGGCTATTTTGACTTGCTCCACACGGAAAAGAAAGAGCAACTTCTAAAAACCTGTGTTCTCTTTACAAAAGATCTCTGATTCTTGTTTCTGCATGTTTGACAAAGTTATATTAAGCTCCACTGAGCCAAAACCAACACTGAGCAATAAACACTCTTAAATGCACGGATGAAGCTTTGTTGTCTTTAAGACCCCCTCTGGTGAATATCAGGTTTTTTGCTTTGATAACATGTCCATATACAACCCCTGGCAAAAATGATGGAATCACCAGTCCTGGAGGATGTTCATTCAGTTGTTTAATTTTGTAGGAAAAAAGCAGATCACAGACATGCCACAAAACTAAAGTCATTTAAAATGGCAACTTTCTGGCTTTAAGAAACACTAAAAGAAATCAAGAAAAAAATGGTGGTAGTCAATAATAATTGCTTTTCAGTTCAAGCAGAGGGATTTATGGAATCACTCAATTCTGAGGAAAAAAATTATGGAATCACCCTGTAAATTTCCATTTGCAAAACTAGCACCTGCATCAGATTAAATCTGCTCATTAGTCTGCAGTTAAAAATTAGTGCTCACACCTTGGAGAGCTGTTGCACCAAGTGGACTGACATGAATCATGGCTCCAACATGAGAGTTGTCAGTTGAAACAAAGAAGAGGATTATCAAACTTCTTAAAGAAGGTAAATCATCACAGATTGTTGCAAAAGATGTTGGTTGTTCACAGTCAGCTGTGTCTAAAATCTGGACCAAGTCCAAACAACATGGGAAGGTTGTAAAAGACAAGCATACTGGTAGACCAAGGAAGACATCAAGCGTCAAGACAGAAAACTTAAAGCAAAATGTCTTGAAAACAGAAAATGCACAGCAAAACAAATGAGGAACAAATGGGCAGAAACTACAGTCACCAAACTGTAAGAAACCGCCTAAAGGAAATGGGATTTAGATACAGAGAAGCTAAAAAAAAGCCATCATTAATACCTAAACAGAAAAAAACAATGTTAGAATGGGCTAAGGAGAAGCAATCGTGGACTGTGGATGATTGGATGAAAGTCATATGCGGTGATGAATCGCGAATCTGCATTGGGCAAGATGATGATACTGGACACTTTTGTTTAGTGCCATTCCAATGAGATTTATGAAGACAACTGCCTGAAGAAAACATGCAAATTTCCACAGTCATTGATGATATGGGGCTGCATGTCAGGTAAAGGCACTGAGGAAATGGCAGTCATTACATCTTCAATAAATGCACAAGTTTACATTGAAATTTTGGACACTTTTCTTATTCCATCAATTGAAAGGATGTTTGGGGATGATGACATCATTTTTCAAGATGATAATGCATCTCGCCATAGAGCAAAAGCTGTGAAAACTTTCCTTGAAGAAAGACACATAAGGTCAAGTCATGGCCTGCAAA